CAGGGCAAAGCCAATCAGCCCTGAGGCCCACTCTCCCTAAGGAACGGGTGGGGTTGAGCAGGTGTGACTGGGAGAGTGGAGGGGATAGTGACCCACCCAAGGAGGCTCCCAGGAGGCCCTGACCTGCAGGTAACACAGCGGATCACCCTTTGGTACCTGATATTCAAGATGCCGCTGACAAGTCTCAGTGAGAACGGCCAGAGGACAGGAGTGACCGGCGAATGAGAAGGTGAACTTGGAGAGGCGGTGAGACCTCTGCATCCAGGCCCATCAGGGTCCCTGAGACGAAGGGCTCGATAGAGGCAGTGACGTCACTGTGGAAACTGCCTGGTAGGCAAGGAAATGCCTCCTCCTCTGCTCATGCTCACAAGGACCACGACCTGGTGCGCCTCCCACTCCTGTCCTGACCCTGCCATGGGCCCCAGGCTCCTGTGCTGGGTGACCCTCTGTCTCCTGGGGGCAGGTGAGTCCTCAGAAAACCAAGGCTCCAGTGAATGCGTGTGTGTGAGTGTGTGAGTGTGTGAGTGTGAGACTATCACTGTTTTTTCTCCTTCTATTTCCAACTTCTGTCTCCACAGGTCACACAGAGGATGGAGTGTCCCAGTCCCCCAGGCACCTAGTCACACAGAGGGGACAGGATGTGACTCTCAGGTGTGATCCAATTTCTGGACACAACCGCCTTTACTGGTACCGGCAGATGCAGGGACAGGNGCATCACACTGTCCTCCTGCGGGAGGGACGGTCCCCCCTGCCTTGTGCCTGTTGACTGATTCGCACACAACACCGACTCCAGGAAGGCTGCCCTGGGTCTGCCTGGAGCAAGGACCCACGTTCTTTATTTTCTTTTCATTTCCCCACGACTCCATCCTGAGGGTTAGACTAAAGCATCTTTTCCCAACGTTTCCAGTTTCAACTTGACTCCATGACTAAATCTGATTTCTAGAGGATGTTCTATTTAGTCTCCGAGCTTTTTGATGTGAAATAATATCCCTGAAGTGTTTAACTCAAGAAGAGGAGATATTTTCTTGATCATAAGGCCCTATTTATTTTGATATATTTGCTACGTTACATGTTGTCATATATTACTTGTTATAAATATGAACAGCCACGCACCCATCTGTTTGTGCCGCTGCATGTCTCTGAAATCTAAAGCCATCGTTAGAGGGGTCAGATCATGGACCACGGGTTCCTGGGAGCCCTAAGGGGTAACCCAATGCTTGCAAATATGGGCCGTGCCATTGTCACTATTCCTGCCGAGGGTGAGCTGAGATGAGCGCACATCACAGCAGCGGGAGCTGTGCAGGGCTCGGGCAGGTCCTGACTCCGAATTTAGGCAGGAGCCAGGAGCCCGGGCAGTGCCAACAGCGCTGCTGCGCAGGGGGCCGCCTGGGGGCGCTGTGCACCCACCCAGTGAGCCTCTGATGGGGAGCTGGTGCCCTGAGGGAAGGGAGGGGGAGGGGGAGAGTCTTGGCTGGGCCCCTGCATCCGGGAGATTATCTGGGGAGCAGAGGTTTGCTGATGGGATCTTCGCCCATGAGCTGCTGTGCAGGTGTGTTGGCCTCAGCAGGGAGCGTGAACTTGGCCTCCCCGGAGTGAAGGCCTCTCTGGGGGCCTGTGTCTGGTGGACAGTGTGTTGGGGCTTCAGTGGGCAGCCGGGGAAACCAAGGCAGGTGCAGAGCAAGAGGCACGTGCTCCAGGAAGGAGAACAGAGAGTCTGCGGTGATGGCCACTCGCCCCCAACCCCGCCCGGCCCAGCCCAGCACCGCCAGCTGCGCCTGCTCCTAGGAAGCTGGACGGAGTGGGGACCGCCTGGACCAGCTGAGCCTGTCCAGGGGGTGCAGGGCGCCTGCGGGAGCCGACAGGGACAGTGACATCAGAGCTGTGACGTCACAGGCAAGCCCTCCAAACAGAGCAAAGGGAGGGGCAAGATCTCTACTCTCTCACCACGAAGTCCAGAGCCCTGAGCAGGGAGATGGCCAGCCTTGTCCTTCTGGAATCATCCAGGGGCTCCCGCCTGCTCTGCTGTTTGGTCCTGTGTCTCCTGGGGGCATGTGAGTCCTGAGAGCAGGGGGGACATCCCTTCTTGACCGTGGCTGGAGTGTCCATCTCCTTCCTGCGCTGGTCTCCAGCTTCTGTCTCCTTCCTCCACAGGTTCGGCGGCTACTGAAGTCACCCAGTCCCCAAGACACCTAATCCAAGTCCTTGGGGAGAAGGCGGTTCTGGAATGTCACCCCAAACCTGGACACGATACACTCTACTGGTACCAGCAGGCTCAGGGGCAGGGCCCCCAGTTCCTCATTTCCTTTTTTGAAACGGAGGAGAGAGCCAGAGGAATCTTCCCTGAGCACTTCTCAGCCAACCAGTCGGGTGACTACAGCTCTGAGCTGGCCATCAGCGCCCTGCAGCTGGCAGACTCGGCCGTGTACCTCTGTGCCAGCAGCTTAGACACAGCCCTGCAGGGCCCGTGGCTCTCTGTACTCAAACCTCCCTGTCCCAGCTGAGAGAGCCCCAGGAGAGGGAGGGGCCTCAGCCAAGCTCCAGGGAGGCTTCTAGTTCTTTCTAAGCCCCTCCCTCCCTGCCCAGCTCAGGCAGAGCCCCCTGAGTGCTCTCCCAGCTCTGCCAGCCCCTTGCAACTCCTGGCCATGGCAGGATCTCCTGCTCTGTGAATGAGGGGCGGCCACACTGTGTGTCTTAGTGCATGTTCGACATAGTGTGTCCACCTTATAAAGGAGGAAGAGCTAAGTAAACTGTTTTCTAGAGAGGAAGTTGCAGCTCCTGCACTTCCCAAATATTTCATACATGTCAGCCCTGCATGTCCAGGCCTCTGATGTCAACATTCCGCCGAAATCCCACAGTGCTTCCAGGGCCTGGTCCATAGGATGTAACAGAGCCCTGGCTCTCCTGTTCCAAGAGCATCTGAGCGGGGATGGGAAGGTCACACATCATGTGTGAGGTTATAGAGGTGACTGCCCGCCATCTTCTAGGACATAGAACTTCAAGCCGAAGAAAGTGTATCTGTCCTGTCTTAGTTCAGGGAGACTCATAGATGGAGGTCAAGATGTCACCTAATAGAGGGGCTAAGTGACTTGGGGGATTTCCAGCCTAGCAGAGGATTCCCCAAGGAAACAGAAGGCCTCTAGGAGTCTCAGGCAGGATCCTGGGAGTCAGGACAGGGCCTGAGTGCTTCTAAGGCCATAGAAGCTGTAGGGAGGAAGGGGCCCAGGTGGCCCTCACTCACCACTTTCCATCAGAACATCCCAACCTGCCACTTGAGCCCAGGTCAGGAGCTGCAGGAAACAGCTGAGCGCCACAGCGGTCACATGAAGGGTGTGGACTATTACAGACTGGGCACTAGTTTGCTGATGAACACGGGGGACTTAAATTCTACTCATTTTGTGCTTTTCATTCAGTTGCCTTACTTATTACACATTCTCGGGAGGTAGCACGAGTCACCAACGTTACAGGTGAAAACACTGATTGTTAAAGAGTTAGATAATTTGCAACACGGGGCACAGCTAACAGACAACCCAACAGGGACTCAAACCCGGGCCACACTGACTCCACCCAGGCTTCAGTCCCTCCAGCCTCTTCACTGGGTAGAGGGAGGCATCTTCCAAATGGGAGCATTGACCCCGAGGTCCCTGTCAGGATTGCTGGCTGACACTCCTCATTTGCATAACAGCTTCCACCTGGGAGGTGACCTGCTAATGAGGAAGGACATCCAGCTGGAGGGACCTATCTGTTCACACTCTCACCTGCCTTGGGCTGGGGACTCAGAAATATTTGTCTGAATTTTCCTATTTGTAAACTAGGGCCAATGTGGGTGTCCTGCAGAGATTTTACACAAGCAAATAAATTATTTAATAAAAATATAGGCTCAAGTAATTTGAGTTTCACATAAGCTCTGAGACAAATGTCTAGTCTAGCAAAGTGATTTACTGTGTGCAGTGCTAAACAGCACCCTCCTCACCTGCAGGCTGGGAGCCCCTCTGCTTTCTCCTTGGGGCCTCCTCTCTAGCATAGGAGCCCCCGGGGCCTGCACACCAGGCATCCAGGGCTGCAGAAGGGCTAAGGCTCCTGGAGGAACAGGAGCCAGGGGATGAAACCCCAGCTTCTGTATTCAGGGGGACACCTCAGGAGGCATCTGTGTGCTCCTCAGCAGGTTCCAACAAAGTCCCTCCCTGATGTCCCAGCACAACCACAATACTGGGCCTTATCCCGGCTTTCCCTTCCTTGCGTCTCCCTCCCTGGTCTCTTACTCCCGGCCTCAGATCATTTCCCACCTAAATTACTCCCACTAACTCCGCACTCGTGAGATATAAATTTTTATTCCATTTTGGAAAAATGCATCCTGCCTCCCTCACTGCCACATGCAAAGGGTGAGCCGAGACAGGGAAACATGAGAGCAGCAGGAGCTGTGCAGGGTCCTGGGGACACCTGACTCCTCATTTAGGCAGAAGGCAGCCAGGCGGGACCCAGCCAACAGCGCTGCTGCCCAGGGGACCGCTTGGGGGCGCTGTGCACCCACCCAGTGAGCCTCTGATGGGGAGCTGGTGCCCTGAGGGAAGGGAGGGGGAGGGGGAGAGTCTTGGCTGGGCCCCTGCATCCGGGAGATTATCTGGGGAGCAGAGGTTTGCTGATGGGATCTTCGCCCATGAGCTGCTGTGCAGGTGTGTTGGCCTCAGCAGGGAGCGTGAACTTGGCCTCCCCGGAGTGAAGGCCTCTCTGGGGGCCTGTGTCTGGTGGACAGTGTGTCGGGGCTTCAGTGGGCAGCCGGGGAAACCAAGGCAGGTGCAGAGCAAGAGGCACGTGCTCCAGGAAGGAGAACAGAGAGTCTGCGGTGATGGCCACTCGCCCCCAACCCCGCCCGGCCCAGCCCAGCACCGCCAGCTGCGCCTGCTCCTAGGAAGCTGGACGGAGTGGGGACCGCCTGGACCAGCTGAGCCTGTCCAGGGGGTGCAGGGCTCCTGCGGGAGCCGACAGGGACAGTGACATCAGAGCTGTGACGTCACAGGCAAGCCCTCCAAACAGAGCAAAGGGAGGGGCAAGATCCCTGCTCTCTCACCACGAAGTCCAGAGCCCTGAGCAGGGAGATGGCCAGGCTTATCCTTCTGGAATCATCCAGGGGCTCCTGGCTGCTCTGCTGTGTGGCCCTGTGTCTCCTGGGGGCAGGTGAGTCCTGAGAGCAGGGGGGACATCCCTTCTTGACAGTGGCTGGAGTGTCCATCTCCTTCCTGCGCTGGTCTCCAGCTTCTGTCCCCTTCTCCACAGGTTCGGCGGCTGCTGGAGTCACCCAGTCCCCAAGACACCTAATCCAAGTCCTTGGGGAGAAGGCGGTTCTGGAATGTCACCCCATCTCTGGACACAAAAGTCTGTACTGGTACCAGCAGGCTCTGGGGCAGGGCCCCCAGTTCCTCATTTCCTTTTTTGAAAAGAGGGAGAGCGAGAGAGGAATCTTCCCTGAGCACTTCTCAGCCAACCAGTCGGGTGACTACAGCTCTGAGCTGGCCATCAGCGCCCTGCAGCTGGCAGACTCGGCCGTGTACCTCTGTGCCAGCAGCTTAGACACAGCCCTGCAGGGCCCGTGGCTCTCTGTACTCAAACCTCCCTGTCCAAGCTGAGAGAGCCCCAGGAGAGGGAGGGGCCTCAGCCAAGCTCCAGGGAGGCTTCTAGTTCTTTCTAACCCCCTCCCTCCCTGCCCAGCTCAGGCAGAGCCCCCTGAGTGCTCTCCCAGCTCTGCCAGCCCCTTGCAACTCCTGGCCATGGCGGGACCTCCTGCTCTGTGATGGAGGGGCGGCCACACTGTGTGTCTTAGTGCACGTTCGACATAGTGTGTCCACCTTGCAAAGGAGGAAGAGCTCAGTAAACTGTTTTCTAGAGAGGAAGTTGCAGCTCCTGCACTTCCCAAATATTTCATACATGTTAGCCCTGCATGTCCAGGCCTCTGATGTCAACATTCCACCGAAATCCCACGGTGCCTCCAGGGCCTGGTCCATAGGCTGTAACCGAGCCCTGGCTCTCCTGTTCCAAGAGCATCTGAGCGGGGATGGGAAGGTCACACATCATGTGTGAGGTTACACAGCTGACTGCCCGCCACCTTCTAGGACATAGAACTTCAAGCCAGGAAACGTCTGTCTGTCCTGTCCTAGTTCAGGTAGAGGGAGGCCATGATGTCCCCCTAATAGAGGAGCTAAGTGGCCGGGGGATTTCAAGTCTAGCAGAGGATTCAGCCTAGAAAAAAGAAGGCCCTTAGGAATTTGAGGCAGGACTCTGGGAGTCAGGCCATCACTGCTTCTAATCCACTGGAAGGCTTGAAGAGAGAGGGTCCCTCACTCACCACTTTCCATCAGAACATCCGAAACTGCTACTGTGCCCGGGTCAGGAGCTGCAGGAAACAGCTGAGCTGGACTCAGGGGGTTCCTGTAACTGAGAGAATCACTGTGGGCTGACATCTAAATCAGCCAGAATTTATACAAAGAGAAACACTAGTAGAAGGTATTTGGAGGTAAATTTTGAGCAGAGAAGTCTCTGAATTAACAGTAATATTGTGAAAAAATATAACTATGCAAAATAGGAATGGTATCTTTCTGCATAGGGGAACGAATTCCCTTACCCAAAGGCAAGGCAAAAGGCATATATAGTTATAAGATTTCTTTCAAAACCAGACTTACACATTTTTCCCGCTCTGAACTGTTCAACTTGATCTACATCATTGACTTGTTCCTGCGGGAAGGGATGTGGCAGGTTCGCTCTGTAGCTCACCATTTGTCAAGGACGGTGACATCAGTGAGTCACTGAGAGCCCAATGCCATTGCCCCAAAACAGAAGAGGGAGACATGAGATTCTGTCCTGGAGCTGAGATGGCCACCAGGCTCTTCTCCCGGGTGGCTCTTTGTCTCCTGTGGGCAGGTGAGTCCAGGTAGGTTCCCGACCTGAAGGCCACATTGCCCGCTGTAGTAAGACCCTCATGATGGCAGGGGCTTTTGGAGTTTCGGCCAAGCCTCAGAGTGCAACCTCAGGCTTTCAAACCATCCTTTTTGTGCAGAGAGGATGTGGCCCTGCAGCCCAAGACGTCAGCCCAAGCCTTCCTCTTAGGGTGACATCAGGTCTGTGGCTCTCTCTTACAGGACACCTGGATGCCGGAATCACCCAGAGCCCAAGGTACAAGGTCGCTGGGACAGAAAAGAAAGTGACTCTGAGGTGTCACCAGACTGATAAGTATGACTATATGTACTGGTATCGACAAGACCTGGGTCATGGGCTGCGGCTGCTCCACTACTCATTTGGTGCTGGTGCCACCGAAAGAGGAGAGATCCCCGACGGGTACAATGTCAGTAGGTCAGATACAGAGGACTTCCCCCTCACGCTGGAGGCGGCCACCCCCTCCCAGACATCTGTGTACTTCTGCGCCAGCAGTGATGCACAGCGCTGCAGGGCCACCTCCTCTCGGCACAAAAAGGGTGGTGAGGAAGCCTGAGGTTGCACTCTGAGGCTTGGCCTGAACCCCAGGAAGCCCCTGCCAGCATGGGGGTCTTACTGCAGTGGGCAGTGTGACCCTCAGGGCTGAAGTCCATCCCTAGGCCAGTCTCAGCCGGCCTGGAGGCCACACTTAGCTGGTCCTCTCTTCTGCAGCTCTCTCTCTCCCTGCTTGCAGTAAGGAAACTGCGTCTTGAGCTGAGATGCATGACTATTCCGTTGATAATCTCAGAGCCCGTACATTCTTCTGTCTTCCAGGGGCCTCAGTGACTTCACCTTCCACC